TTCAATTATTTACTAATTTAAACAATCTTATACGACAATAAAGTGACATTTGTTGTGCTTAAGTAGGTGTTATTAAAAGAAGGGATTTTACACGTGTGTTTTTACTTGAATATTTCAAAACATATTCAACGTAATTTTATCTGATATCAATATATTTTCACTGTTATATAAAAAGTGTAATGGACATAAGCATGGTTTAAATAGCATAATTCTTTAAAAAACAGAACATGCTGTTTCAGATTTTCATATGCATTTACATTATATTGAAAGCGTATGCCAATTAGAGCATCTACTTTCGATTAATAGCCGGGAATTGCTTCAACATTATGTCCCTTTATGTTATTTTCTTCAAACAAAATCTTACTGATAATTAATCATACATTAAATAAATTGCTACGGAGAGTATGATAAATGTCGATTATAAGGAATTATTATCTATTACTGATTTTGAATTGTATGAAACAAAATACAAATACACAATTCTCATCATTAAACGAATACCACTAGCATGTACTCTTTTATATCAAAACAATATACTTGTTAACAAAAAAATTTCTTTAAATGTGAAGGTTTTCTGCAGTTAATAAAAGTGGTTTGTTCTCGTTTACTATTATAATAAATCAGCTTCATTGTATTGTCCGGTGATGTTAATTAAATATTTTAGAAGTCATAAAGGAATTTTTTTAGAATATATATCACAATTTTCCTTTCTTCATGGCATACTTGAATCACATTAATATAATTTTCTTTATTAAGAATGATAAAATTGCTTCCTTATATTTTAATTTCAGTGATCAATTTTATCAGGATAACATTTTATTAGACTTTTAAACAACGCTAATAAACACGACGTAATATTATAATACATTAAGTCCATGTTTGATTTCCTATGCACTCGTCTGCCTCATTATTAAATTTCACGCGGTTACTTTTAAGTTCTTTAACAAGTTAAGCGATTAAATAAACCTGTAAGTCATAAATTTGCCATAACACTAGTACTTTGCAATAAATTTTCTAGCTGTAAAGTCTACTATTTCCCTCCACAATATTTATTAGGATGTTTTTTAACATCGTAAGGATTGATGATTTAATACCATCAGACAGGTTATTAAAATGTTTCCCTACATCGTGACAGAGAACACTCTTTTTAGCACCTGCATGAATTGTTGCACACATTTCTTGATGACTTGCTTGTCAAACAACCACCATAATTTATAAACTGAATATTATAAATAATACATAACAATAGTGTTATCCGTGAACGGTAACTTGCACTTTCCGGCACTGTCTATCAACAAACTGAATTAAACCGAACCTGCAACAATTACAATTTTGTCGTTTTGAGCGTTCTTTAGGTATTCTGTTTTTCTCTGTTTTTTATGAAATTAAATACCTTGTGTAATTTAAATAATGAGTTATTTCTAAGACAGGACTAGGGAGTATAGTGTGTAGGTTGCATCTATCACTGCCCTCTTATTACAGGCTCGTACAAACCCGGTCTGGAGCATGTTCAATTTTGCCGCTTGGGCTTTCATTCAAGTTAATACTTTATTGATTTCAATAGAAGCCCATGGATGAAAACAAAAATATAAAACTAAGCAGGAGCAAAACGAAGCAACTTGATGATTATTAAAGTAACTAAAATGCCATAGGTCTTAACAAGCTCAATTAAACCGAGTCTCAAACATTTTCAAATTTGCCGAGTTTGGCTTTGTTTAGGGATTTTTATTTCTCTCTATTTTAATATGAAAAAAATATTAATAACTTTCAATCAATAACCGGAACTTCAAATCATCCTGTTGTATCATATAGCTTCTAGTACAAATTACGGCATAAATTCACGCTTAGGCTTCTTCCTTAATCGATTAAATACAATTGCAATACAATATATATGGACATAAAAAAAACGCAATAGATATCAGTCAACCTCATGCTGTTTTCAAAAGTACACAATTAAAGCTATAACGATGGTGTTGACTCCAGTGGTCATGATCATGATTTGATATAGTCATTGGAAATCCAAAACCAATTCAGAAGAGTTCGATTCCAGAGACCTTATAGCTGCTAATGTATATATGATATATATGCTGGCTACATATACTTAAAAAATAACCAGCAGTCGGAACACCGAAAATCGGACAAACATTTTAAGCTCATTCGACAATATCACGTTAAGTGCATTAACCTTAAAATATTATTATTTGGTTAAAACTGTACACATCTATACTGTGTCTGAAACTGTTTCCTTTACAATAACAAAAACCATAAATAAGAACCTGCATAGTTGTTGCAAACTTTTTCTATTGAATGTCACGGTGAAAGACTGTTTAACGAACAATAAATTAGACGACGCAACAATAGCAGATAATGACGATACCTAGAAGATATTAAACTTAATAAATGACTAACTTACGCCACATAATGAGCATTTAAATGGAATGACAACAATCGGTTAATATCAGTAAATTAGTATAATAAGATTAATTCAGATATTCAAATAAAAGGTAAGCACTAATACGCTAAGCTATATTTTAAAAGTATTAAAATGTCTCAGTTCTTGGCAATTGCGATCTATGAATGCTAAAACATGATATATATACCAATATATTAATTGTCATATAATAAATTATTTACAATAACCAATTTAGCGGGCAATGTAAAGGGTTTTTAAGATGAAAATTTGACAGATACTGGAATTAAATATGACCAAATTAACATACGTTAACATTAAAGAATTTGGGTGATCAACGGCACAGATTATGATCATTAGTACGAACATTTTTCCATGTAGATTGTATGAGATATATAGTGCATTTACTTCATGGAGAAGAATATGAGTGGAGGAGGAATATTATTGGATTAAACACATAGTCTAAGACAGAAAACAAAGTACAAATCAGGTATGGTCTATGTTTCGGTTTGATAGAGGCTTTTCTTAGACATTATTGATAGATGCGGACCACGGTCAACGCCCCGTAGCAAAACGATTGTGGTTTGGTAAATATTCAAGTTTTCTAAAATGGATTCTGACACGTGATATAAAGGGTATAGTAAACTTTAAAATTTATGGTATTAAACATATATTGTCTCGAATCTTGTAACCGAAATCTAAAAAAGGTTATAGCATAATGTTTAACTAAGAAAAAGTGTATAACCCTTACAGTCAATCTTTATTCTTCTACAGAAGAACAGTAACTGAGATTTTCCATTATACGACATATGATATAGAACTATCCTATATTTTATAAGGCTTCTCAAAATGTTTGAATTTAAGTGTTAAGCTTTCCCAGATTAGGATTTTAAAGTCATACTTAGTTATAAATCATTTCATTCACGTAGCGTTTTATTTTGTCTATTAATCTTTTTGTATGTGGGAGGGGCATTTTATTAAATCCTTTTTAACTTCAATGAACTTACATTTTTTATATTGCCATGTATCTTTCTCGGCGATATCGGAATTTATCAAGCTATTGAACACTAAATATATCTTTATCTCTTATTTTGTTGTAATATATACAGAAATAGTGCGGTCTTTTTATATAAAAGAAAACTATCGTATTGCTATGACAATATAGTTGTTGAACTTTTTTATCAACACTTGTGCCAAATCCAGTAAATATTGTTGTTCAATTAGAATTAAATTAACGAATAGCGATAAGTTAACACTTTATTTATAATTTTGACGAATCCAGTAAAATTACCTTGTAATTAGTATACAATTAACGAAAATGGAAAGCGCCTAATTACAGTTGCCATTAATGTCATATTTTGTTGCATTTTTTTTTACATTTTGCAATAGCAATTTTAAAAATGTAAACGTAATGTACCTATTTAAATGTTGCTTCTCATTAATAAAAGAAATTCAGACACCCCGCAATATCAATAAAAACGACGATGACTTTGTGATTTACGATGTATAACAGAAATATATCATTTATGTTTAACAAGTCCTTACATATATATTTCTATTAACTGTGAAACTGTTGACTAATCAAAGAACCTTCGTTCATTAACTCACATTAAACTGGGTAAGAAACAGAATAAATAAAATGCTTTTTTTTTGTTAAACTTTGATTTCCACCATGCACTACAGGGTTTATTGGAACATAAACAAGGTTTTGTTTTTCATTCAGATAGTTTTATAAGATTTTTGCAAGGTATAAACCGATATTAATACAATCACAGGAAGAAAAATACCCATTTTTCTCCTACTTAGTTCACTTTTCTAATCAAATATACTGTTTAAAAGAATTTTTTGAACCAAATTAAACATATCTCTACGTAAAGCTATATGAAAGTAGATACAAGGTTAAACACTTCGTTTCCTAATGTGGTGAAAGTAAAGTATTGAAACGAATTCTCGTTATGTCAACAAGTTTTATATCGTACATAAAACAATTTATTGAAGCAAAATTATCTGGTTTATATTTTGGAAATACTTTTTTTCTTTATTTTGTAAACGTTTATCTTTATCAGGTAAGATTTTAAAGATAGTTTAATTATAATGTAAACTCTGTTTTATTATCAGTGTATTTTAAAATGAAAATTATTGTGTAACTCACTGAACTGTAAAATTGCATTACCAATTATGTTTTTATTAGCTATATACTGATACTTTAATTTGTGATATGTATGTGGGACGTATCCAAAAATGTATTATCAATCATTTATGATGATACAAAATGGGAAAGGAATACATATAAATAAATATCCCGCTTCTTATTTAATCAATATATTTCGATATATTATATGTAGGAAATGAATATATTATTAATAAGATATTGCTTAAATTTAATTTAATTTTCCAGTAAACGCTGTACTAAAACATACAGAGTCTTTTAACGTCTTTGTTATACTATATTCTCTAGTTATTGTAAATATCAATATCAAAAATACGTAATATTCCTAAGTTAAATCTGTCATATATAACTGATATCTTCTGCTCGTCAAATAGCAACTGTGAAATAAGATTAAACAAATAATTTGATACTCAATCTTACCTGTTCTGGCCATCCTGCGGTTTGAAGTTGGTCCGGTGAAACTGCTTTTGAAAAGTTCGTCAAAACTCCTAACAAAAATACTACAACCAAACAGACATTCAAGTACGATTTTGATTTTGAAAGCTCCATAGTTCTGTATTTGTATTCTGTATGTCAGTAAAGCACGAGAAAACAATAAAAGGTATTAAAACTTAGATTAAACAATTAACTTGTTTACCACAGTTAAAAACTAAGTTTTGAAATGCAAAGAAATTTTCTGCAGTTTAGTTGAATATCCAAAGCTAATTTAAAGTGAATATAGATTCTTCTAAGCTGTTTAAGAATCTGTTTGTAAACCGTTATCTTCTTTCTAAATGTACTATCAAAAGCATATTTATATCAGCATTGGTTGACCACGTGAAGTTCCTTTCCAATATCTCTGTTACCCGCCTCCTTAACACAGCGAAGATTAAATGATAGAAGTTTTATAACTTGTGTTTTATATAGATTGCGCATGCGTTTACGAAAGTAGTCCCGTGTGACTGGCGCGATAAAATATGACGCTGGGCTTGATTTGTAGTGGCTAAAACGATGCGACATCGGTTTTATTTATAGTATTTGCGCGGTCGTAGGCGAGTAGGAAATATGTTAAATTGCAAAATAATACTTAACCAATATTTCTATTACAGTAATTGATTGGGGATGAATGTTACAATACATGCTTTGCTTACACAGTCTAACGAAGTTCCCGTTGATTAATTAAAGCTTTAAGCGGCACGCCTTCAGTTAAGTTAACTAACTATTTAAAGAAACTTACTAACGAAAATATAATTATAATTTTAGTAAATTTATGTAAATGGATTCACAATGCAATTAACTATGATTCACTATTGTAGACTTTTTAATCAATTATCACCAATTTGAAAGTTCTACACTAACGTAAGAGTTAGATCACGATTGTTTGGAAATTATCAGTAATTTGTGGTGTAATATATTACAAATTTCAACAATTTTTCATACAAATAAACACAATACTTGTTCTGTGGTTCTTATAAAATATGGGTGTACATGTATTATGAGCACTTAATTTGCACTTTTCAGTTGTATATATTAATATTTTTTGTCAATCAGTTTTTTATATATATATATTTTTCATACAATATCATACTGTTGTAAGCGTTAGAAATTTGATATTACACTTAACACATTTTAGTTTCAATCACGCACTTAGTAATAAAGGCTTTTCATTTCTTTTTACACTGTTAAGAAGGTTTCAAATTTTCGAGAAGCTAAAGATATACTTTGACACAGAATGTATTTGTACACAGACAGAAACATTACAATATGTAAACCATGTCAGTTTATTGACACGGAAATAGATTGTCAAGAAAGCAAACTATAGAAAGAAGATAAGACGCAAAAATGGCAAATTAAGAATATTGCAAGCTTAGTTTGAACGAGTATGCTCATCAATGCTAGATGTTAGGTGCAATAGTTTTATAATACTTGGTCAATATTTTCACTGAATATTCATGTAAGTGTTATTTTTCATCAACTGATGATATGACAGCTTTCAATCCGTGATCATATGTTGGCGGGTATTGTTTAAAATTTATACAAATTTCCGTTTGTCACCAGGATTATTTTTTTACATACATGTAGTTAAGTATACAATAATTATTACTGAATACCATTAAAACAAATTTTCACATTATTTTTATTTTTTTACCAGTTACCTGACAATGTAATCGTCAGGTGATAGGCATAATAGCAATTACATGAAAGTTTCAAATTGTTTATTCAATGAAAATGCTAACCAATAATTATAAAAATACTGATTTCTTTATTAAATGTAGAACAACATTTCCATAAGGAGTCGTCCTCTAAACATGTAAAATAGGAATCGCACTCAAGGAGAAGTATTTTCCATTCGTCCATGTTCTACAACGAAGATAGTTTAATTGTCAGGATTCTTGCGTCTCTCAAAATATTGACATTAGTATAAATATATAGGAATTCAACTCAAGTTTATTTATTGAAAATATCATGATAAAAATAACAGTAAAACATTAAAACTTTTACCAGCAGGCATCAGATTATGTCCCTATTTTATGTATAATTTTCCATGAGTGTAATTAAGTGGTAGCAAATCGATTTCTTAAATTATGAAAAGTGTTTGTTATTCTTAACATTCTTTTAATTATAACCCAACAGGTTTTAATGTTCAATTTGAAACAAAATTTGTGTAGATGGTCACGTTAGACAACACAGAGCCATATTTTACAACCTGCCACGCAGGATTTGGCACTTGCTTTTGTGACTCTAAATAATATGGAAGAAAAGGAGTTCACCGGAGATTAAATTGAATGAAAATATGAACATGACGTAACTATATTATAAGTAAAATTTTGGTCATTCGTCATGCGATTTTAGAATGCTAAGCACTTCCAATCGTCCTATTTTTTAACAACGATGACACGATATTAATCAGTGAAAATTACTAATATCAGTTCAAGTTTCGAAAGGGAAACAGAGTTCAAATATACGACAATCAACAAAGTAGAGGGACCTTCGGCAGAGCAGCCCCGTCAAACTCTAACAGTAATACCTGTCCTCGGCTTCCAAACTGGCTTTACATGTTTGATTCTCTTTTCTCTTTCAAATGATTTTTAATACGTTTGAGTATCATTTAGTATCTTAGTACGTTAGTCCCCAAGGCATATGTAAATTCTTAACTACAAACTTATGGAGCAGCTGTTTCTTCCATATTAATATTAGGATGCCTATAAATTATAAATACAGAAAAAGAAAATGATAAACTGCTACACGAGGCATGATTTATATCATTTATGACTGAGCACGTTTTAGAAATAAGATATTGAAAAAAGTCAACAAAGTAAATGTCACAGTTATTTATGAGAGTAGAATATTACAGACAAAAAGATTAAATTGAAAACTTTTTGAACTGCACATTTACCCAAACCTAGCTGGAAATAAACGTAAAATGTAAGAAAAAAGAAAAGACAAGTCGAAGTTCACTAATCAATGCAGCCTTCGACAAAATTCTCCCACAAAGAACCAACGGGGAGGTACCAATTACGAGGCAACGACGGGGCTTACTAAAACGTTGTAATACCTTTGAAATTATTGTATTTTGATAATAAGATCCCTAACACTTCTAATGGATTCTTCCAAATTCAAAGAAGGCTAAGACCATTACAATTAAAGGCTGCTTTTTATATTGAAGGATAACCTTTTAATGTCTTTTAGGTTTCATAAAAAATCAAAATCTGCTACAAAAATATTTTTTATAGGAAATTAATGTCAAACATTTCCAAGACAAATCTTGTTTATAAGATAATATTATCAATAAATGGACTTAAGGTTATTTCCGTGACGTATTTTGTTCTATTTCATTTTTGAATCAATTTTGTCACATTGGGCGTAATTTAGTATTTCCGTTTTTCTCTAAAAAAAATTGTGATATTTGCTTGATGTTTTGAATAATTCTTAGTGTGGCGGCATGGCCGAGTGGTTAATGCGTCGGACTAGTAATCTAATGATTGCTAGCCGTATTGATTCAAATCCCCGAAAGTGACAAGTTGGTGTTTTGCTCAGTACTGGTTGGTTCCAGCAACAGATTCGAGAGTGTCAATAAGCTCATAGCTTCCTACACAATGGAACTAAAATAGACTCGGTATAAACCAAATAATTATATCACCTTTACACAGATTTTACACTATATTTGTGGTCAGTCAAGCCTACCAACTTTCCCGTGTAATAAACAAGTAAAAAATAATTTCTCCGTTGGTGACCGACTACTTATACCACATGAATTAAAAAAAATAAATAAGCGGCGAGAGACATATGACCACTTAACTTAATATCTCAGATCTATTGTCCCTAAGAAATGTCGTATTGTCTGAGGATCGAGCCAGCGACACCTAGCAAAGCCAGTGCTAAATGGGCAATCAATACTCTTCTCAAAATTTATCTGTTTTTGTCACACATTTGTGAAAACTAAATGGTTTGCATATGACCGGTAATTTGTTCATTAGCTTCTTGTGCGTGATTACCATTTACATTTATTCACATAATTATGTTAACTTAGTCTTATTGTCGTTCTGACCTATGTCAACAACAAACGCTTTACGATATTCAAAATACAATTCAAATATTTTGTAATGAACAATTGTGTAAAGTGCTAATTAAGATTACGGAGTTAATCATTTTTTGTCGACGTATTCTTTGTCATATTGTGCGTATATATATATATATATATATATAATATATATATATATATATATATATATATATATATATATATATATATATATATGATACAATGTATATGTAAAATAACAATTAACATTGTAAGCGTTTGTAATTTATTTTCCTTTGTGGTTTTGATAACTTACGTAGATGTTATATTGTTATTCTATTTGTTTCATAACAATCAACGACATGCGCCTGCATGCTACCTTACAGTTGAGTCAATTCTCGTTACAAATGTCTTGGAACATAATTATCTTAAACAAAGTTAGCAATGGATATGAATGGGCAAATGTAAAGCTTAAACATCAATATCGTCATATTGATAAAACAAACACTTTAAAAGAATACCCCGAAGAACAATAAAATATAACCTGTTAAACAGGAAAATAGCATTAATTGCTTGTTATGCTTGCAGGCAATCCTTTCCTTTGAAGTAAGGAAATACACTACACATGTGACACGTTTATAACTATTATAATTTTTGTTGTATTGCAGAAATCTTTCATAATGTATGATTTAGTTTGTCAGGGCAGACATACATTTTGTTAAAATAATTAAAAGTGGATTATGCAATACAACACATGTCAGTTTTTTGAAACTATAATTCAATATCGACAAAGAACAATTTTATTTGATTCACAATGTTTGACTTTTGAACTATATTTTGTATTGCGACAACTATCTAAAATGTTCTATTGATATTCAATTTGCATTTGCAACTTTAATTTTGTCTGATAATGATAGAACCATCAATTTGAACTGAACCTTTTAAATAATTATACTTTCATACTGGTAAAAATTTGTAAAGTTGCATACAATAGTTTTAAAAGTTTCTGGTTCACGACAAGTTTTGGTTCTATTCATAAGCTTATGCCTGTAACAATGCAAGGAGATGGACTTGCCGATGAGATAAAAAAATACCGACAAAAATAATAGCGTAAACTTAAATACATAATCAAAAGGTTCTGAATTTTTACTGACTTCCAATCTGGTTATCAATTTGACATTTTTTCTAGCATGTCATCTTGTTCTCAATTAAAGAGGAAACATTAAGATAAAAAAAAATATCGCAAAAATCAAAATGTACATTCCTTATATATAATTATACACAGCCGTGCCACTTTTAAATGAGTTTGTAAATACCGTACATACTAACATAATTATATACGAGTACATGTATATGCACGAAACATACACTTATAAATAATAATTTCATTTAAATTGGATTACCAATAGTAATTCACGCTGATCTTTATTACAGATTTTATTTTCCTGCTGTTTTTTTTACAGTATTTCATTTCTTACCTG